GTCTTGCTTTAAGAGGAGATTGGGTTGATCTGATGTGACAGTTGTCAGCCTGTTAGGAACTATTAAGACAAAAGTAACTCCAAATGTGTCAGAGTTCTAGTAATACATCATTCCTTTCTATCTTGTAGTTCTGAATCAGCTTCTTGATTGAAAAAGGCAGGGAGAGAGCCTAACGTAGGTTTTGAATGTTTGGGATGGTTGAAGCTATGCAGGTATCTGAGGAGCAGTGTGTGGATTCAGCAGAAGGTTTTAGCTAATGGTCTGTACTATACGGTGTCTGCAACCACAAAAAAAGAACCTAAGCAGATGATTGTTTAATCCGCAGAGTTAAATGCTTTTGAGTCAAATTGAGATAGGGTATACCTTTCTTCTGTGTGGATATGAGGTGAGAGAGATTGTGTGGACAAGGGAAAGCTGGATCATAACCTCTGCTTAAAGCAGTTCAGTGCTTCTAATGAAAGCATAGGAGCTGCAAGGGGCAGGCTGTGGGTGGCTCAGTAAAGGCAACAGCAGTACAAAGTCAGAAGATGCTGAAAGCATGGAAGAGAGTGGCAAAGTCACCCTCTGTGAGGGAAAAGGACAGCTTCCAAGCTACCCGGGAAGTGTTCTTTTCTGCTGCTTGCTTTGTTGTAAATACACAAAAGTAATGTATTGTCATTTACTTGTGGTTCCTTCCAGTAAGAAAACCTCACTGTATGAAGCCATCATGTGGTTTCAGCAGTCCTCTGGCAAAAGGGACGCTATGTACAGCTGAGAATATCTTAGCTAAATTACACGTACAGCATCAAACAGCAATGAAGAGAAAATATCAAGAATTGGGTTGTAAAGATTTCAGAAAAAGCAAGCGGGTGCAACGTGCTGCACTGTGCTGACTGTAGGGGCATTAAAGAAAACCCTTACTTGGACAGGAATAGAGAAAATAGATTATATATTCATCATCTGTGAATTAACATATAAATAGAATCTGGAGGGAATTGTTCATTTTCAGGTTATAGTGGTTGTTACAAACTTTCATCTGTAAATGGAAGATCTGAAAGCAGCTTTTAAATGATTGGTTTCTTACTGCAGCCATAGACTTATTTCTTAGCATACAGAGCAATGCTTTGGTGCTGCTTTGGCTTTTACCCTTTAGTCAGTCACCTTCCAGTCTGCTTCCTCTCATCGTTTTTAAAATAATGCCTTTTTGATTACAGAAAATTGGTTGATGCACTACACTAATGAAAATGCTAGACAAATGCTCCTTCTTGGAACTGACATCAGGAATGTTATACAAGACATTCTTAAATACGCTGGCAGCTGCCCTGAATGTAATGAAATCATGGAAATTAGAAGTATTGCACTCTCTGTGTGGCCAACTCAGGACTCTTTTCAGCATGTTACCCAGTTTTGTTGTGAATTTCAGAAGGCTTTTCCTGAATTTTTCTTGGGACATTGTTCAACATGCTTATAATTCCCACAGTCAGGAAAATTATAATGCTATTCTGAAGTACTATTCTTTATTACCCTTCCCCCCCAGCTTTCCTGATAGAAATGTGTGTGTATGGTGAAATCCTATTCCTATTGCAGCCAGCAGTAAAATTCCCACAAACCTAAGTGGTTTGGATTTTGCATGCAGTTTTTAGTCTTCTCTTGTATTACACTTTAATCCTTAATCCATTCCTTGTACAGAAGGCATCTAAATGCAGGAAAGGTAGAACTGTGGCAATGATGCATACTGTTTTCGCTAGCACTTATACATGCAAGGATCACAAAGCACCTTATGAAAGGCAGGTGAGACCTGCTGCAGAGCATAAGGAATAGATACTATTTTCATTCTTTTAAAGTGCAGAGAAGGTTGAAGAGAAGGACCTTATCTCTGTGGCTGTCTGTATATAAATGATAGCACCATCATGGCTTCCACGTTACTTTTCCTTTGTCTGTATTTTTTTCACCTATTGTTTCTCTGCAGCTTTGATGTATTTTCATCAGATATCCTGAATTTGAGTTTTCCAAGTTGAACCCAATTTTCTTTACCTGGTTTTTAGTGCTTTAGATTCTTCCATAGTTTCTTTTGCTGGAGGCTTACAAAAGTTCCTAATGTAATTGCAGTTTTGTTCATTTGAAGTAATATTCCATTTCTGTCAACAAGCAAGAGTCAACTGAAGAAAATTTAGCCCACATTCATATGCTGTCACTAACACTTGCCATTGGAACTAGCAAGTTCTGGCTCAAGGATGAGAAGCTCTAAAAGGGAACTGTGGCTGCCTTGGCTGCTGGGAAGGGAGGCACAGAAACCTGCTTCCAGCTTCTTCGTTCTCCTTTTCTGTTAAGCGTGAACGCTCTGCTCGGCACTGGTCAGAGAGAAGTGAGGGGTTTCTTATGTGTTCTGCTTTGGATTTATTTGTTGCAAGAGCCTTTCTAGAATGCAGTGTGGCGGGGACTTGGGCTGGGGGGTGGTTTGCACTGAAGCCAGAGTCACTGTGATGCTCAGTGAGAAAACCAGCTGTTTTGAAAGAGTAATAGGAGATGGGATAGGGCAGCTACATCATTTCTGTCTTGTTGTGACGCTCGGCTTTACCAGGCAACCTTTCTCTCAGATGCTGCTGTTGGCACACAAATGAAAGCCTGATAATGCTTTTAGGTGTACTGTAGAGCACAGAAATGTCCATGTGCATGATGCAATACAAACAAGATGGTTTCTGGCATGAAATGGAGACATCAAATCATTAAGAATGCTATGGCCAGAAGCTTTCATAATAAATTATTGTAAACTCATAAAAGATTGATCTTTCTTGATTTCAAAGAAAATAAATCAACAATATGAAGGCACCTCTGTTACAGTTTCAGACAAAAGATGGACTCCTGAAGTATTAATCACTTTCTGTAAATATCACCTATGAGCCTGTATATAAAAGGTTAAATGTTTGCAGACTGTTACCTTTTGCCTTAAAGATCAGATACAAATTACTATTTTTACTTTAGATTCTCTTGATGAGGATAATGATAAACATCTGTCACTTTGCTGCTTAGCCAGCTAAGAATCTTATTGCAATCTGTAATTTAAACAGTTGAAGAAAAAAGAATAGAAAAAAACCTACATGGACAAACTGCACTTTATATAGACAGCAGAAAAGAAAAGAAAGAGCATAGGAGTCAAATGCAGAGGAACTGGGAAGGGCTTTTATTCAGTCTGCAGTTATTTGGCTAAAATCTGTGGATATATAATAGATGTATGATTTTCCATTTATTTGGTATTTCACAAGGAAAATTACATGTAGTTTCTTTTCAGACATGGAGGCTAAGGAAAATACTGAATCTGCATACTGTAACTTTTTGGCATATGCAGTTTATTAACAAAATTATTAAGGATTTTAGGGTAGAATGTCTGCTGGTGTCACAGAATTGAAAACACTGTTTTCATCAAGAGCTCTTTCAGTGTCTTCCACAGTCCGAAGATTTTTAGGAAGCACTGCTAATTATCTTTTAAGTCCACAGATTAGCTGGCTTTCTAGTAATACATCTGTATTTAAAAATAATGTGAACTTTTGAAACTTCTTTTACAAACATTTATTTTTGCTTCTAAATGATATGCTGGATCTTATTTCTTAACAAATCTACAACTTAACAAATCACAACCATCGCTGTTTCATTTAGACTGGACTAACCAAGCTGTGGTTTACAAGGAATAAATACGAAGTGGTCTGTCTACCAGTGCTGCATGAGCAGAAGCAGACCCTGTGCTAGGAGATCAAACTAGGAATCTCTTTTTTGGCCCATCAAGAACGGATTTCATGCAGGGAAAAGCCTCTTTGGTGACATGTTTGCATATCTAAGTCTAATGGTCTTTCGCTAATGGATTAGCTACTGATTTCAGCTGCTCCAGGAATCTGTAAATGTAGAGCAGTAATGATCTGCAAATTTTAGCTAAATGCTACACTGTAAATGGAGTTGTGCTGACAGGGGTCTGGCTGGTATGTAACTAGTGCTCATTACTGTTTTTTTTCTTTTTGCAAGTCCTTTCTGTTTCACGTTACGCTGCTAGGTACCAACAGAACAGGTTTAGATTTTATAGTTCACGCTAATATGGCTTCGGTGGGCATTTTCAGGGAGAAGTATTATATATCAGTTTGGGGAAAGAGCATTGTTCTTTGTACTTCCCAGGTTGAAATTCTATTCTTTTGGCATCTTTGAGCCTCAGAAAGCAGTTTGATTTTCATCAAAAGGCCACTATTCTTTTTTTAGGTTTTCTTATATTTATACAGGCCAGACCAAAGCAAAATACATACCTTCTAGCTTCCAGTTAAAGTTCCTGGTATTTTTTAATTAGGTCAGCTGTTTACATACAAAGAAGTTCTTTTCTGTCCAATGCAAAAGAGACCTCTAATATGTAATCCAGCCTATGTTATGCTGAGCCTTGAGCACTGGAACCAATGATGCTTTTACTGTTATCCTTCATAAAACCTTTGTTTACATAGGTGCTATTCACATCTAACAAGTTTGAGGCTGAAGTGTGGAATTTGTCACAGCTGAGTCAATCTTAAATATCAAGGATGGTTTTACCCATAGGAAGGTAAAATCCAGAATCCAGACTTATAGTGCTTCTTTCTTGCATGGGTTAAGCTGTCTGAATCTGGATGGTAAAAGATTTGATAATAAATATTGCAGTAAGTGATCTGAGATAATTTCTTGGGGTTTCATTTACCACCATATATCTTTGAAAGCTTTCTTTAATACAGAATATGTGTGGACATATATAATGCACTTTGTGAAAAATGCCTTGTGTTTAATATTGCTTTGACCTCTCAAACTCCAGATTTTGTAACACTGGATACTGATGTTAAAGAGGCCAATACTTCATATTTTAACCTCTAGACATTCTTTGTGTGAGTTACGTTGCTGGATTACTACAGTGTTAATTCCAGGTTTTTTCCCCAATATATTTCCAGTTTACTGCAGTCTGAGAGTTTTGACTTTTTTTTTTTTTTTTTTTTTTTTTTTTTTTTTTTTTTTTTTCTGTGTAGACTGAAAATGAGGAGAATGGCCAAGCAGACAATTTTTCAATGGACCCGCAGCTGGAGAGACAGGTGGAGACGATTCGAAATCTTGTGGACTCCTACATGTCTATTATCAACAAATGTATCCGAGATTTGATACCGAAAACAATCATGCATCTTATGATCAATAATGTAAGTAGCAGCCAGGGTTCTAAATTATTTTAACAGGTCTGTTGAATGCCTTACCCTCGAACATGCCTCTTGAATCTAGGAGCAACAACAGCATGTACTAAAGGGAACATGCTCCTGTAAGTGGCACACTCTTAGACAAAATATTCCAATCTTCCTTGGTAGTAGAAAGTTCTGCAGCATTCTCAAAGGTTGGCATGCTGCCTTGAGTGCTTGCTTCAAAATGTGAAAGATTGAATTCATTTACATCTTAATCAGAAAATAAATTATTATTTAAACGTATTTTTAAAAATACAAAAGACACTTTTTTTAAAATAACAAAAGGTATTTTTTTCCCCATCTTGTTTTTGATATAACAGAAAAAGGGAGTTGGGAGCTCCATCTGAGCAGTCTCTGAGAGCAGCAGAGCAGAGCTGTGCTTCCTTGGTTTTCAGTGTGTAGCCCTTTGTTATGGTTTCTTAAAGCAGTTCCTGTTTTATTTGACTTTCCTTATATTTTCATGTTACCGTTTTTAAGGAATAAATCTAGAAGCTTTGGGCACTGTTGTTTAGATAAGCAGATGTGGTTGTTTGATTTATTATGTGTGTCTTTCTTAGATCTGAAGATATTTTGATTAAAGAAATGGCTTTTAGATATCAGTGTTTTCTGTGGCACTGCGATCTCAGACGTTTCTTCCTGGCAGAGTTCTGGTGGACCTTGTTGAAAGCTAAGGTTAATATTAGTGCCAATACTGCCACAGAAATTAATAATGGAGAGCACAACTCCTGTTAGTTATGGGTGGGTAGCACCTTTTCTGTGAGGTCAACAAACCCATCAGTCTTTACAAATAGGACATGCTATAGGGCAAATCTGGTTAGAAAGTAGCATTTACTTTTGACTTGGAGCCACCTCTAGCCTTCTTCTAATGGGTTTCATTAGCCTTGTGGAATTTGTGTTGCACTTAAGAGTTAGGTGATTGGAAAGGAAATTTTAATGGGATTTCCTGGTACATGTTATAATACAAGCAGAATTTTTGCATGAGAGCAAGAGATACTCAGTTAACTTCTTTAGGTTTAGAGGAATCAATCTCCAAATAATGATCCTAGTCATGGGTGAGCTCTTATAAAAGAGCACGGGAACAATGGAATTGCCCTTTTTTAATGAAATCAGACGTGCTCTAGACTTTATAGGGTGTGTTCTCTCTGCTCTTTTCAGATCACAGCTAGCAACTTGCTGCTTTGACTTAGCACAGCTTCAGTGCCTTTTGAAAGGGCTGGTCTTTAGCTCTCATTTCATAAACTGCAGAGTTCAGTGAGCAGTTCCTTTTGAAAGTTTACATTAAATTTCTGCCACTCACTTCCTCATATGGAATAGTTTAAGGGTCTCTGAAGTATGTTTTACTCAGAAGCAGAATACTATAAGATTTTGTACGTTTGGTCTTATCAGTTGTTAGTTACATTGGTAAAGTCTGCCATGCTGGCTGACCATGGCACCCAGAAACAACATGCTCAAAATATCATCTACCTTTTAACTAATTTCATAGTCCATAGCTGTGTTTGGATGGTACAATGAGCTAAGACATACATTGCAATCCTAGAATTTAAATTTGTCCCAGAGAATCAGAACATTTTATAGGGCTGTGAAGAGTGAGACTAGAAGCATTAATGCACTTGTTTCTGTGTAGCATAAGCAGTAAAATACCATATCTGAAACAACAGCTAAAAAATCAGTGCTAATAAAAACAAAGAAATGCATGAATTAAGACTGCCGAGCTATGCCAAAAGGTTGTGCAAAGACCTGGAAAACAGTGGAGCTGTGATGGAAAGTGGGTCCTGTTAAGTTGTGTGTGTGTTCCTTGTAGCCTTCAGAAGTCCAACCCATCAATCAGCAGTTAAGTGAAAACACCCTCCCTCCCCCTTCACAAGGATATACTGTACTTTCTGCTACCCCTTCATGTTGCCTCCAAAATTCTGGAAGCAAACTGATCCCAAGAAGTTTGTTTCCATGACAATTGTAACCTTCCAAGTCCTCATAGAACTTGCTTTACATATTGTGGGACTGTAAATGAGCACATATAATTCAAGGGAGGTATCAAATTCAAACTCAGCGTACAGAAAATAATTAGATGCTGTCCCTAAGCATCTTTTGAGGCCTAATCCTGGATTGTTGTGTTCGAAATGCATCCCTTATTCTCCCCTTAGGGTGGATGTTGATTACCTTCAGAAAAAAAATACATTTACCACACAGAACTGCATTGAATTTCCATTAGCAATTCAAACACGCACAAACAAAACACACGTTTTGGAATTTGTATTTCATGGTGCTTAGGTATCACAGATTATACACGAGGGGTGGTTTTACAGTGGACAGCATATACTCCATAAGCAGTGCTGATATTAATTCAGCTGAGTAGAAAAACTCTGAAGTACTTGTTACCAATAAACTTAAGGTCAATGAATGGATTGAGTTTGCATTTGAGGCAGTGATAAATTTTGTAGTCTGCCTGCTGATGAATGAATTTGTAAGCTCATCTTACCCTACTTCAGAGAGACAAGACAGGTTTTGGATGCTTGGTTTGGTTCAGCTTTGACTGCAGGTCTGATGTTTGTGAAGGAAAACGTTTCAAACCATTCCTGTGAGTCTTTCTATTTTCTAGAAAGGAGAAAAGGTCTAAGTGCCAATTTAGCTTCCTTTTCCAAGCTGGAGAAAGTGGGTGTTGTGGAAGACCTCCCTCTGTCTAGTACAGTTCATCTCATTGCAGAAGGCAGCAGGCTGATCCAAGAACTGTCCCCAACACACCAGTCTTCCCCTTCCAGAAGAGTTCAGGGAGTTACTTGAGTCTCCTGCTAGTGGCAGATGGATCTCTCACGATAATTGTCACAGGCTGATTATTTTTTTTCAAACAGATATTTGTGGTTTAACAATGCCTTTACAATCAGCTCTGGCCTTAATCTAATTTTAGGAAGACTTCTTTTTTTGAAGTGATGCCATTAAAATGCTCATTTCATCAAGTAGAATGTGATGGTGTTTAACTATGGTATCTGTTTTTAATGTGGAGGTTTTGGCAATCATGAGAAAAGTAGTGTACTCTGGCTCTTGATCAGTACCATCTACTGGAAAACAGCATGAGACTCATGGAAAATTTTTGCAGGCTTTGCTAAGAATTTGTGCATCTCCTGTCATACATGAATGGGAAATGACAGCCAAGTCCAGGCAATATAGTTTTATTTCCCTGTCAGGTCTGTCCTGGCCTTCTTTCCATTGCTAGGTGACCCTAAAGGGTCCCATGCCTGTGTAGTTCGAGTGGTCTTATTGACCTTGTCTGAACAGAAATGTTGCATTAGTCTAACTGTCAGGATTTAAATCAGTGTTGCTAACGTAGCACAAACCCATGCACAAATGGATCTCGAGTTTATGTAATCAGAATCTTGGGAATGTGTTATTGCTAGTATCTCTAGCTCAAAAAAGCTTTATAGAGCAAAAAGCCAAGTGAGAAATAGATCATAACAAGAAGAAAAGGCTCACATTCAAGGATTTGTAGGTCAGCAGTTGGTCTGTTTACCACAGTCTTATTTAATCAGAGTATCTCTAGCTTTTTATCTCTCTTAATGTGGTCCAGGTTTCCATGATCAGGGCAGGCAGAGCAGGAAATCAATAGAGTAAATTGGATTACTTGGAGACTTCTCCCTTCAGTTTGAATGCATGTGGATGGGATATTTAGAGTCTGACAGAGTTACTGGAGATGAAGGACACTGTCTACAGTAGAGCAAATTGTTCCTAAGAAAGTAATTGACAGAGATATCATAAAGCAAAAAATTCCCATTCCCAGGGGAATTTGGTATGCAATAGTATTGCTAATGGCTGCCATTTACCTCTCAGTCAACAATTCAGAATTGGACCAGAATGCCAGCTGCTCTGCCCACCAGCATGCACCAGACTTCCCTTGCACCACAGCTAGACCCGAGGCTGCTGCACCATCAGCTCAATCTGAGTTCAACATTTTTTTGGTCCCTGATCTGACGTAACAAAAACTGCATGACCAGTAGAATTGACGTGAAGTAGAAGGAGAAACCAATTCATTTGAGATGTGTCTGTCTTCTGGCTTCATGGATCTGACGCTGTGTTTGTTCAATATGGTATTTTCCATAGGTTTTGTTTATTTCTTTGGTGGGATTTTTTTGTCTGATGAAATAGGTAAAAGAATTTATCAACGCAGAGCTCCTGGCCCACTTGTATTCTTCTGAGGACCAAAACACTCTAATGGAGGAGTCAGCTGAACAGGCACAGAGGCGAGATGAAATGCTCCGCATGTACCAGGCACTGAAGGAGGCCCTGGCAATCATTGGTGATATCAGCACTAGCACTGTCTCAACACCTGCACCCCCTCCTGTAGATGACTCTTGGCTTCAGCAGGCTCGCAGGTAAAGGATCCTCACATCTGTATTGCAGTGAAATTTAGGACAGGCAGACATTGTCGGCATCATTAGCTCCCTCCCTGCCTGTCTTTTTTGGGCAGGTACTCCTCCAGGTCTTTAATGACACTTGTGAGAATATGTGTCCTACATACATGTATTCTATGGATATATACGTGAACATCAGACAGGATATTTGCCTTGTAGAAAACCATCCAGTGGATTTATTGCTTGTCTAGTGCTTCAGATAGCAGCCCCAGTTGTGCCTCCACAGCCTCTACTTGCAATCTGTTATAATAATGCAGCATCTCAGGCTCCATGTCCTAGAAAAGCCACTTAGCAGAACATTATTAGAACTCTGATATTAAAATCCATTACTTATGAACAAAGAGTAAAAACAAATGTTTATTTCTGACTATTGTAAGACATGCTGTCTGCGGGAAAGGTAAGTGTGAGACTTAAGTAATCACCTAATGCTCTGACACTGACAGCAAAAGAAAATGCCAAGAAAAAAGAATTGTCGTAGGTGTAAAACAAGGTTTTCATTTCTGTTGAATAATAATAATAATAAAATAAAAGAAATTAAATTTTAAAACCCCACAGCCAAATCTCCACTTTACTAAACTTCTTAAATCTTTGATATTTCCCTAGATCACCTCCTCCAAGTCCCTCAACTCAGAGGAGGCCTACATTAAACAATCCCCCAACCAGACCTTTATCTGGCCGAGGACCTGCTCCTGCAATCCCATCTCCAGGCCCTCAGTCAGGAGCTCCCCCAGTCCCATTCCGCCCAGGACCACTGCCTCCATTTCCAAGTGGTGGTGATGCCCTTGGCGGACCTCCTCAGGTTCCCTCTCGGCCAACCCGGGCTCCTCCCAGTGTTCCAAGGTAAGATGTTTGATCTTCTTGGTGCTGGGCATGGTTCTCTCCCTCTAGCATAACACATATTCTGCACTGTGTCAGAAAGTTGAGCACTGTTGTTGAGGAAGCCTTGTAACGAAATTTGGTGTTCCCTGCAGAGAGTCACAGGTGTTTGGAGGAATCATTTTTTAGCACAAATATGACTTTTTGAAAGATGAAAAGTTTTTTCAGGGGAAAAAAAAAAAAGTTCCAGTCTTTTTTTGCCAGTTTGAAGTCACTAGATTTTCTTAGATTAAGAATCCGTTTTGTTGTTGTGTTGTACTGACACAGGGGTTCACAGAGAGAGAAAGGGGTCAGCTACCCCTCCACCAGAAGGGAGGCAGGGGTAAAACAACTCCCCACTTTTGTTGTTCTGAGTTCTCATCAGGAGTAACAGCTCTTCTGGGAGAGAACAAGAACAATCCTTGTAGAACCAGTGGAACAAACTGACAGGAGTCTGATTTTTATTCCACAAAGCAAGTAATTTACAGCCCGTTGAAAACAGTCCATAGTTCTCTGATAGTGTAGGTCAGTACAAGTCATTTAGGGAACAAAATTTTTATGACCACATTGTTTCCTTTTCATCCCAGGGCTTTGCATTCGTTGGTACTTTTTAAAGTAGCTTTGCATATTGTATAATTTTATGTGGCATCAACTGCTTTTTTTATAGGAGTTATATGAATAAAATGTCCTTACTATTTATTTTCACAATGGCATAATACACATAATCACTCATATATTTATATGTGTGTGTGTGTGTATGAAAGCCTCTGATTCAGAGGGCTTTGGTAACTTCCTAAATTATGAGATACATGGCAGATTAGGCAATTTTGGAACAAAAGGGTTTCTCCTTTTTTAATAAATTAACTGTTACATTAAAATTAGTCATAGGGTGAAAAAAAGGCCAATGAAATAGAAACAAAAGGAAAATGTGCACATTTTCAATTTTAGAAATGGTAATTGAGAAGAGAACCCTTGGAGAGAAACTTTCTTTTAAATAGGTGAGACCTGTTGTAGCTGTCAGTAATGTAAATTTGCGACTGTTTCTAACTTAATTACCTTTTATATTATGGAGAATAAATAAATGAAGTCTATCAAAGGAATGAAGTAATTTATATATTTGCTATGAAATAGTATTGTTGCATCAGTGCCCCCCACCATTAGATGCACTCTTTCATCTTGGCGAATATCTCCTAGCTTGCAGTAGGACCCCTGGGGAGAAGCCTAGATGTAGGGAACTTTGTGCTGGAAGGGAAGAAGTCCAAGCAGCATCCCCTTGCTGGGAGAGCCTGGGACTGAGCTGAAGGGCATTAGCCCCTGTGTGTCCCCTGTGCCATCAGAGGATAAATCTCACACTAGATAGAGAAATGAGGTCCAGTGAGTTGTCAGCTGTACTGCTGGAGAGAACCATAGCTCCCTGGGGTCTCTTACCTTGCTTTGCAAATGAGCATGTCTCCTTTGTCCTGCCTGGCTGTGATTTTGCATGAATGTTATTTCCTGAGGTGGCTTGCCAAGAGCATGTCTGATGATAATCTGTTTGATGCTAAAGTGACAGGTGGGATGGAGACCAGAAAGGAATTTTCTAGTGTACAAAAGACACTTGGGTAAGCAGCCCATGAACAACTCAATTCATGACTGTCTCTAGTGGCATGTGAAGCAGTGGCTGATAAAGGAGGTCAGTGTTTTTAAAATGCTGTAGCTGGATTTATAATTGAATGTATGACTGCCTGACATTTTTGTGGAAAAAATATCTGCAGTACACATCTTCTGGACTCGATCCTAGATGTCTTTTTTAGAGCTATGAAAGTCTCAGACGTAAAAAAAATCTCAGCTGCTTAAGAATGAAGGAAGGGTTTGCTGTTTTGCTGAAACTTCAGGTTTCTCCTGCTGACTAAACTCTGAGAGAGGAAATCCCAGGGAAGGGGCTGCAGCGGAAATCACCTGAGGGGGTCAGTGTGGCCAGCTCCTGCGCCTATTAAACGTTTCTTTTAAGCCCTGGAATTTCTGCTACGCTCGGTCTGGTTTTAATAACAGCCTTTGCAGGATCATAGGAAATTGACTCAGAAAATGGGTCTGAGATATTAAAAGGGAAAAAATAGTTTTGAGGAAGAGTTCTTGAGGGAACTTGAGCTTTCTCTGTGACTTGTGTTTGAAGTGGGGCTCTGTGCTCTGACGGATCTACCACCATTTTCTGCAATGATTCCTTGAAGGAAGTGTCAAGATCTCTCATATCTAGGGAAATAGTTTAGCTTCCTGAAAAGAAAGCTGTATTTTTAAAGTTTATCTATTTTTCCACAGAAACTTTTTGTTGCAGCCCCTGTTATTATCGCGTGGAGCTGAAAATCCTGACATGCTGAAGAAATAAACTTTTTCTATTTTTTTCTGTTCTGCCTTAAGATAAACTTAAGATAAACTTCTGCCTTAAGATAAATTTTCAGGGGTAAGACTTGGACCGTTCTTTTTCAGTGAGCAGCTGAGCCACATACTTGGTTTGGTGAATTGGGCACCTTATAATGAGGTACAGCCATTGCTTTTAAAAAAAAAAATAATATCCATTTTCCCCTCAACTTTATTAGCATTTAATCAAAGGAGTTGTACAGAAATAGTGAGCTCTCGGCATTTTCTCACTGTTCCTCACTTACTGTACAAGGAAAGGAAAAAGGTTAGGGGAGCAGGAAACAACTTTCTTCCTTGCTTTGCCCTGATTCTAAAGCTGTTTTGGGTTATGTGCTCTGAATATTTCTGTAAGGAAACAGAAACTATTTGCATGATACATGCCTCTTTTAATTAATCCCACTTGAGGTGGGTGGATCTTTCCCAGCAAAGACTGTGAGTAAAGGCCCCTGGCTTTAAGGGCTTGTTGCCAAAGCATATATGATTTGTGAAATAGTCCCTGCTGCCAGAATTTAGATTATTCCCCCTCTCTCTTAAAAGGGTGCAGTAGTATTTTGAAAGAAAATGCAGCTGTGTGCTCACTTTGGTAAGGTGGCTTTAAGCAAGCGCTATAGCCACTTTAGCTTATCATGATGTGTTTGCCTGCCTGTTTGGAAAGCCTGATCTTGACCAACTTTAGTCCCACTGTGGGTTCTTTGATTTATGGCTTTTAAATGTCCTGAATGAAACTCAGCTTTGCCACAAAGAAAACAATTGCATTGGAAATGTTTTCCTCCTGGTAGCAGAGCCTATGGTATTAGTGGGAGTGGTAGGGTGCTCCCTTTGTCTGTGTCCTGCTCTGCAGTGCTACTGTGGATTCATGAAGACTTTCCCAATGAACCTCTGGAGATCGTTACTTACTTTACCATTAAAACATACACGAACCCACTCAATGTGGAACCTGGGACCTGGTTAAACATGGCTCTTGAAGGGCTGGGCCATCCATTCAAGCAGGCAGGAACATAAACGCTCTCAAGCACGTGTGTCACCTTCAGGCATGCTGGTGCACAGTCCCTGTGGGCTGAGGTTAGTCTTTACATGTGAGGCAAGCAGCAAGGAGAGAATTCATGTTGTGCTCTTTGTGTATGGTCCCACGCTCTCCCTACAATTTACTTCAACGCACAGCCAGTCAGCATGGAAGGGGTGATGGCTGCTATGCAGCTACATTTTCTTATGTCATTGAAGCTAATTACATGACCTGTTGTGTTTGTAGCTAATGTACATTGTAAACCATCATTACATATTTCTGCCAACCTGGCACAAAAAAAGTGCTTATACTTGAATGTAATTACAGTTAGAAATTTACAGAGAAAGTCTGAAGCAGTGCAGAAGACATCACTGCCTGACATTTCCTGGTCTACAGGCTCTCTACTAGCTCTTTGATTGTCATATATCAACCACTAAGTAAGGCTTCTGTGATGGATTTTTACATCTTAAGAGTTCTTTGGAAAGTTTTAATGTGATGTCTAACCCTATGCATTGAGCAATAAGGAGATCCTTTGGAAAATCTCCACGTGATCTTCTGATTCAAATCTGTCATAGTGCATAGGCATATAAGGTCAGAAGAGTTATCCTGCCTTAGTCTGGGAGTCTCCTCTCTTCTGAAAGTTTGACCTTACAGCCTTAAAAGCTTATTGGTATATTTTTAAGTGGACTATAAACAATGATCAAATAGCCATTCCATCAAACTCTTTTGGCAGGTTGAATAAGTGCACACCTTAAAGCACTCTCATGCCGAGTTCAATGATCTTTAATCTAAACACCCATGTAGAAGAGCACAGTTCTGTCCAGCAGTAGCATCCATTTGTCTTTTATCAAATGGATCTTTAGTGAAGGTATATATTGAAAAAGTATAATCAGCAATTAAGTGTTCCGTGCAAGCAGAGAAACAAGAGTGTTATGTGCAGGGATTTCAAAATCCTGAATTTCAAGGGGAAAAGAAAGCTAAAGAATAACTAATTTGATTCTGCATTTTATATATATGATCAAATAATCATCTATGCGATGCAAAGCCAGAGCCCATCACAGGAGGCCATACTGTTCTTCTGTAGTCAGTACATTTCCAACTCTGCCTGTCCAAAGACCCCAAAATCACAAGACTGACAAGAGTATCAGATATTTTTTCTCTGACTACTGCCCTGGGGGAAGACACTCCTGTGTAACCTGTTACCAGTCTAATTTAGATTTCTTGTTGAAATGCACACCCAGTAATATGTTCCGTTTGCTGCTGGCTGCCTCAAGCAGGAGACTCCATTTATTTTCCCTTATCGCTTAGAAGGGAGCTTTGCTTTTTCCCATCCTTTACTGGCTCCTTTATCACTCTTTTGTCTTCCCTTTTTTCTGCTTTACTCTCGCTGTCCCTTTCTTGACCATCCTGTTTGCTTCCTCTTTCACCTTCTCCCTTCACTCAGTTTCCTGCTTAGGTTTGTCTCTGTTCCACATGTATTCCCTCCTTTGCTTCTCACTATCTTGTCTTGGTTTCTTTCCAGCTTATCGCTTCCCTGGCACCTTTGTAAATGTGTCTCCTACTCCTTGCATTTCTGTGTTCTTTTAAA